AAAAAAAAAAAAACCTCTGGGGCGGCTCTACTCTGTCACATGGGGTCGATATGCACTACAATCGACTCAACAGCACTCAACAACAACAACCCCTGGGAGGGGGTGCAGAACTGCCTCCCAGTTGAGAACCACTGGACTAAGCCAAGTGTGTCGGCCAGTTGGCTTCTCCCTTTGGGGCCCATTTCCCTCTGACCAGCTCCCCTAACTCCAAACACTGCCAACAAAGGCAGAGGCCCCTGCTCATTGCCGAGGTGGTTGTTTTGCTTTAGCTATGACTGTTCACTTATTCATAATGATAACAGTTACCATCAATTGAACACCTCCTAGATAGCAAACGAGATATTTTGTAACATATTGCATGCATTACCATATTTATGTATGTCCATTTTACAAATGGGCATACGTAAGCTCACAGCCCTGGTGACGCAGGGGTTAAGAGCTTGGCTGATAACCAAAAGGTAAGCAGTTCGAATCCACCAGCTGCTCCTTGGAAACTCTATGGGGCAGTTCTACTCTGTTCTATAGGGTCGCTGTGAGTCAGAATCAACTCGACGGCAACGGGTTTTATACGTAGGCTTAGAGTGGTTAGATGACCTGCCCAAAGGCACACAGTGACTGAACCCAGATTCAAACTCAAGAGTGTTTTATTTTAAAGTCCATGCTTCTAACAATCACACTTCAGTTGTCCAAAGTGCAGCAGAGCCCTCCTTGCATGGCTCCTCCTTCACCTCCTGAAAGAAGCCACTGAGTTCTCTCTTATCAAAGAATAGGCCTCCAGAGGTGCCAGGAGATGCTCTCAGACACCCTGCTTGGTTATCCCAGCTAACCAGGGGCTTCCCAAGGCCAGCTCTGGTGGTGAAGTAGTTAAGCACCCAGCTGTTAATCGAAAGGTAAGTGGTTCGAACCCACCAGCCACTCTGTGGGAGAAAGACGTGGCAGACTGCTTCGGTAAAGACTACAGCCTTGAAAACCGTTGGGGGCAGTTCTACCCTGTCCTATAGGGTCAGTATGAGTCGGAATCAACTCTATGGCAACGGGTTTGGTTTTTATTTTTTTGGTCCCTCGCCTGGCCCTCCCTCACCCTCTGCCCCCCAGGCCTTCCAATGTCAGCAGCAGTGGTTCCTCCTAAGAGGGTCCTAGGCCTTTGATGTGCAGGCCTGCTCCAGATTACCGGCTACCTCCTTCCCCCCAGCGTGACCCTGGCAGGGAGCTCATTAACAGATCCTTTGTCTGGCTTAATGTTTGGAAAAGGAGGTTTACATTTCCTGCAGCCCACCCCTGTTCCCATATGAATTTCAAGGGGGTCTGAGTGCTCTAATTATCTCGGAAATGGCTCTGGGGCAGAGCTGGGGTTCATGGGACCTGAAGACAGTGGACCAAGATGCCTGCTCCCCCAGCATGGCTATGCCAGACCCAGCAGCTTGAAGCACCGATAAACAATCTCGGGTGGTTCAGATGTGGCTTATTAAGAAGGGATGTCCCTGGGCAGGGAGGGGACTCTTCTCTTGGCTGGGCTTTTGTTCCCTTTGAACTATGGATGCTAAAAAAGCATAGAGATGTCTGTTTAAAGCATTAAATTACAGTGCCAACGTTAAGGATACCGGAGTCAGACCTGGTTTTAAGTCCTGCTCTGCTAGTTAGCGGCTTGTGGCCTTAAGACAGTTTATGGGGATCACAGTATCTACTCATTGATTATTGTGAAGGTTAAGGGAGGTAATGCATGCAAAGGGTTTGGCTCCCCTGAGTACTCTAGAAATACTACCCACTGTAATTATCAGTAGGGGGCATTGGTGGTTCAGTGGTAGAATTCTCACTTTCTTTGCAGGAGACTCAAGTTTGATTTCCTACCAATGCACCTCATAGGCAGCCACCACTGTCTGTCAGTAGAGGCTTCAGTGTTGCTATGATGCTGGACAGGTTTCAGTGGAGCTTCCAGACTAAGACAGACTAAGAACAAAGGCCTGGAGATCTACTTCCAAAAATCAGCCAATGAAAACCCTATGGATAACAATGGTCTGATCCACAACTGATCATGGGGACAGTGCAAAATCAGGCAGCCTTTAGTTTTGTCATGCATGGGGTCCCCCTGAGTCGGGGGGCAGACTCAACAGCAGCTAATGACAATAATTATCAGTAACAGGATTACATACTGCTGATTTATCTGGGAAGTTTTAAGCATTCCTTCCTTCAATTGTTGATTCATTCACCTGAATGTGGCAGGCATGCTGCTGGGTGCTGGGGCTTCAGCAGGGAACCAGAGACATGGACCCTTCAGTGTGACAACAGTGATGATGACGGAGCCGCTAAGAGTATGGACTTAGGAGTTCAATGGAGCTAGTTTCCACTAGCTGTGTAATCCTGGGTATGTTACCTATCCACTCGGTGCCTCCATTTCCTCATCTGAAAAGTGATGGTCACAACAGAATCAACCTCATAAGCTTGTTGTAGTATTTAAATGAGATGATCCATTATAAATGCTTAGTACAGTACCTGGCACAGAGTAAACAACTGATACACATTAGCTATCATCATCATTGTTATCATCATCATCATCATGACCTTACAAGGAAGTTTAAGAGGCCTGTGTCCGGTATCGTAACTTCAAGCAGGTTGGCTTGATGAAATGGGCCACTCTGTAAAGTGGATCACCACTGGAGAGGGGCCATAATTTGCAATTGGTTCCTTTATCTGGCTTTCCAGGAGTTCCCACCGGCTAGCACAGATTCCCTGCCCAAGATGCTGCCTCAAAGCCACGTGCTGTTATTGCCATGACCAAATGAGGCTCAGAGCCCAGGCCAGGACGGTGGTGTGAAAGGGTAGGATTTGGGGTTTTCCAGCTCCAAGGCTTTTACTACTATGTATCATCTCATTAAATCCCATAACAACCTTATGACGTTGATTCTGTTGCTACCACAACAGTATCACGGTTCCTTGAATTCTGCTGGGTGGCAAGGCCCCTCTCAGGACCGGAAATTAAACAGCTGTTTGTTAATTGCCTATAAGTCTCACCTTGTCAGTCAGGCTGCTGTCACAGGCCGGGTGTGCCAGGAGCAGCCGCACCATGTCCGCGTTGCCATGGCGACAGGCCAGCATGAGGGCCGACGCTCCGTCATGGTCCTGCAGGTTGACGTCCGCCTGGCAGCTGAGCAGCGCCTGGACCATGTCCTCCCGGTCGTGGCTCACTCCCAGCATCAGCGCAGTCTGGCCTCCCTGCACACAGAGCCACAGAGATGGACCCCTCTCCCACCTGGGTGTGCTCAGTGAAGACATCTCAAGAAAATGGCCATTGATCTGAATTTCCTTCTGACCTTGGTATGGGATGCATCCTTTTCTGCCTGCAAACTTCTAGTCTTCTTCCAAGACACTAGTCAAATGCTACCTCTTCTAAAGCCTTCCCTAACTCCCCAGGTACAGGATTCAAAACTCAGCCCAGCACTTGCCACTTGGTATTGCAACCTGTCAACCTCTCTCTCTCATGGACTGAAATTTTGATGGCTAGGACTAAGTCTTTTTCATCTCTGTCTCCCCAGTGCCCAGCACCAAGTTTGTGCTGGTAAGTGTTGAATGACGGACTAAATGAAGGATTGACTGCTCCAGCACCCTAGCTTCTTACTGTCTGCCCCAGTCTGACTTGCTGCGCAAGGCCCTGGCCTGCTCTGAATGCCTCTGGTATTTTCACATGTTATAATCTTATCTTTTTAAAATTACGGCAATCATTTAATGACACCCAGAACCATCTTGCCTCAATGAGGTATCTGTTTGCATTTCCCTGTGGTCATTTCTAATCTGTAGCCATTGATTATAGTCCGAAAGCCGGGTCCAAGTTCTAGTTCTGCTGTTGACTAGTGCATGACTCTGAATCTTGGCTTTTTTTTTTTCCTTATAAATTAATATAATAACAATCTGTCCTGTGTACCTCACAGGGCTTTTGTGGGAATCAAATAAGATATGTAAATGTAGTAATGTAGAATAGTAATTTTTCTGATTATAAACTGACCATCACTTCTCACTTCTCATAGATTTTCTGTATACATACACAGTCTTCTCGCTGTATCTATTTTGCCCTCATGCTTCTCTTAGGCTCTAGGCCAGTCAAGCTTTTCTCCCTAATTGTACTGATCAGGCTTTGTAAAGTTGTAAGAATGAGTCCAGGACTATGTTTTCTCTTCTTTCAGATCCCTTGTGGCTCCGAGCACAGTGTCTTACAAAGTGCTGAGGACCTGTTTGCTGATATGTTAACTGATTAAAGCTCCAATCTGCAGTCATTGACGGATTAAGCTTCCTTGCCCAGAATGCTGGGGTTCATAGAAAAGAAAGGGGTTGGAATCAGAAAAATCCTGGCTGTACCACTTAGTAATTAGCTTTGTAAATGTGGGCAAGTTAACCTCTCTGTGACTTTTTCTAATTTGGTAAAATAGGAATGATTAATAATATTACCTAACTCATAGGGTTGTTGTGAGAACTGAATGAGTTAATACACGTGGGAAGAGCTTAGGGCAGAGCTGAACACTTTACTAGTGCTAGGTAAGTGTTAGATATGATGATCAGTATGAGGATTAGACATACTGTGTGACAAACACTTGGCCCGTCATAGGTGCTCAATATGTGGGAATATATTATCAGGTGTCCTTGACTCCCCACTTCTCTGAGGCCCAGACAGATCTTTCCAGAGATGTCTGCTTACTTTTTGGTCTGTTTTTATTCAGCTCAGAAGTAATGGTTGTTTCCTGGACTAACCAGACCACTAGGTTTCCATCCAGACCCCTCTTTCCAAGTGTTACGAAGGCCAGATGATACATCCAGATTGTGTTCAGTGTCTGCCCTTCTGCCTGACTCCAGGCCCCTTCCTTCCTTGCCTCCCTTCTGGTTCAGTTCAGTACAGCTTAATTCAATGATCATTTACGGGTGTTTCCATATGCCAGGCACTTCACTGGCCCTGGAGATACAAGAGAAATAATTAGCTTATCCCCAGGAGACTCCCACTCACTCCCATTTAACTTGGTATCTTCACTTCTCCTCGTACATACAAAATGTGTAGCTACACATTTCTGCCTCTCCATCGGTGACCTGGGACAAGTCCTTTACTCTCCTAGAGCATCAGTTTCCTTCTCTGTAAAAAGAGGGGGTTGATTTTCATCACTGGTGACCGTCGTCTCTTGTAAGAGGACCAATTCAGGAAAAATTGATATGTTTATGGGAAACATAACTATCATAATGAAAACAGCTTTATTAAGTCCAGTAGGGTAGGGATGGTAGATGGGTGAAAATACTTTGAAAACCAGAAAGTCGGTCTACAAATGTCTGTTTCTCACCATCAGTAGGTTGTTATTAGATGAAGTGTACAAAGTAACTTTTCCGCTAGGTTAGGCTACCATCTGCAATCACTTTGGGGAGGGGCAAGAAACAGGGGAGTTATACATATTGTTGGAGACAAATTTCCATGGGTCTTTTGCTTTTCTGCATGTCATATGAGTGAGGCACTATCTGCTTTTTCATTCCAGTCTATTTTTCCAAGGATGCTTGTACTGGGAATAGCCTTCGAAGAGAGAGATAGTGTCTCCCTCCAGAGCAAAGAGCAGGCATGCTTATTGTTCATTATTAAAGATTCAGGTTCCCTAAACTCACTGTTCCTCTCCTGTAACACAACCCACTTTGTGTGCAGGTATCCTCTGGCCCACTTCTCACCATCCTGTGGAAACTGACACAAATGCTGACTGTGGCTATTGCTATTGCTGTGAGTAATAACTTGTCCTTTGTTTCTGACACAGGAGACTCACGTCTTCGGCCAACATCCAGGCAAACTTATTAGCTTGAAGGTAGAGTAAAATCTGAGACCCTCCACAGATGGTGACAATTTGGCTACCATCAGTGATCATTCTGAGGGGAGAAGGAGAGTTAAATGTACCCTACTTGTTCCTGTATTGATCAAGACAGACAAGTGCCCTTTTGAAGAGTTCCTATTGTTTTATGTGGAGATTTGTTTAACTCAAAGCCCTCCTGTGTAAAGACCAGGCCCCTACTCTGTGTTTGCAAGTAAATGGGCCCAAAAGTTGAAGAGACATCCTAAACTCCCTGAGTTTCCTCCTATACCTTTGCTGTTTGCAAGATCTTTCTTGGAATGAACACCAAAATATTTCTCCTACTTAAATGTTCCATAAAAGGTTCAGAGCATCAGATTTTGGCTCAGGTTAAAAAATTATTAGTTGCCCAGAGTAAAGAATGGGGTGTTTTGGTAGAAAGCAAGGTCCCTGACATTGGAGGTGTATAAGGAAACTGGAGACCATCTGGTAGGATTTTGAGAAAGAACAGGGGGTAGATCTAAGTGACCTATAAGGGCCCTTCTGACCCTGGGGCCCACTGTAGCCCAGTGAACTGGTAGAGCCCACATGTACTGACTCCCCAGCTACTACCTTTGTTTAGGGCCCCACTGGCTCATGATTGCAACCACTCTTCTTAGCCTGGCCCACAGCACTGCTCCTGGGGACTGGGGCACTGTGTGCCTGGAGCAGTGTCACTCACACTGGTTGGTGGAGAGGTAAGAAAACAGGAGGGTCTGGAGGTCTGGCTATTTAAATGACGTTAGGAAGCCCGTTGCTTAGGAGGCTGGTGGCTAATCAGTCACCAGTGGACCTTGCCAATGACTGTGCTGAAGCTGAGACCTGGGAGGTGGGGACTCTCACAACCCCTGTTCAGCAGAAACTCCTGTCTGCCCTGGATTCCACTCCTTTCTTCATTATGCTGGGGACTCGTGGCTTTGTTAAAGGGCTTTGGGGAGAGAAGGGACAACAGAGAGGACCAGACCTCCAAAGAGCACCCTGCCTAGTTAGATGCCTGTGGTCATGGACCAGGGTGGGTCACCTGCAGGGGCTTTCCTAGAGCAGCCAAACTGCTAACTGTGGGAATGTTTGATTGAGAAGTCGAGTCCAGATGGAATTTGCCATTTAGATTGGGACACAGAGTAGATGCTCACTGACCTCTGTCCGATCCTGTCTGGGTCTCAGGAACCTTTAAGGAAAACCAAATGTTCAGGCTTTAGACAGGTGTCATCTGGAGGCCCCAGTTGTCTTGGGTTAAAAAATCTGCATGGATCTGCATGGAGTGTCTCACCCCACTGGCAGAATACAGCAGGGAAGTGCCTCTGCATTTATTAAAGAGGAGATTATGTTCACACGTCCTACCTGAGTAGCTTGGATGTTCACATTTCCTTCTCTTAAGAGCTTCCGGACAACAGCCATGTCTTCATCAGTCTCTGCAGATGCCAAAGGGGTGATCATCACGGCAGTATAGCCAGCCTTGTTCTGATGGTCCACATTGCAGACACCTGCAAGAGAAGCAATGCGCGCGGGCTAAGGGAATAAACCCCGAAGTGTCAGAAGTCAGACTCCGCTTTGGCCGGTTCAACAGGATACTGCCTGCTGGTTAAAAGGCCACGCACGGAATAGCAGAATCCTTTTACAGTAGTGGAGTCGGTGTTTTACAATTTAGCAGGCTTTAAAACTGACTTCAGTAAACAAATGTTCATTGCAGCATTAGTAACAATAGCCAACAGGTGGAAATAACTCAAGTGTCCATCAATAGATAAATGATAAAAACGTGGTATATCCATACAATGGACTATTAGTCAGCCATAAAGATAAATTAAGTACTGATACATGCCACAATATGGATGAACCTCAAAAACATTATGCTGAGTGAAATAAGTCAGATAGAAAAGGACACATATTATGGGATCCCACTTATACGAAGTATCTAGAATAGGCAAATGCATACAGACAGAAGTCTGTTAATAGTTACCAAGGGCTGGAAAAGGGAGAGATGGGAATTACTGATGAAGGGGTACTGAGTTTCTGTCTGGGGTGATGTAAAACTTTTGAAAATAGATATTGGTCATAGTAGTACAACATGGTAAATGTAATTCATGTCACTGAATTGTACACTTAAAAATAGTTAAGATGGCAAACTTTTTGTTATATATATTTCACCACAACAAAGTCAAAACAAAAACAAAAAACTGGCTTCTTTTCTTTACAATTTTCTTGAGGAAACACAGAAAGGAAGGTCCATAGTAGAGTTAGCAACAGCCAAGGGGTCCAGTGACCTTGACTGTATTTTCTAAATCGGAGTATAAGACATTATTCCCATTTTACAGATGAGGAAACTGAAGCTCACAGAAGTTACATGAACTGCCCAAATGCAGGTGAAGTGTGAACTGGACCCACATCTGTATGACCCTAAAGCCCATCACTATCCCCACCACAGCTGCGGGTTTTAAGATTCACTCTCACTATTTAGAATCCCTAGTGGTGCAAACAGTTAATGCACTGGGCTGCTAACCAAAAGGTAGGTGGTGGAGTCACCCAGAGGCACCTCAGAAGAAAGGCCTGGCAATGTACTTCCAAAAAATCAGCCATTGAAAATCCTATGGAGCACAGTTCTACTCTGACACACGCATGGAGTCACTATGAGTCTGAGTCGACTGGAAGGTGGTTGGTCAGTAATATCAGGATGCCTGTGGATACAGAACAATCAGTTCGGCTCATTTATCAGCACCCCCCTCCCTGCAGCCCCTCTGGCCACTGTCATGACAGGGTTAGCTACCAAAGCCAAATAATAGCCCTGAGCATAGCCTCACAGTCCTGTCTTGTTGAAATGAATATTTGCACTGCCTTGTTAATGACCTTTTTTTTTTAACCCCTTGACTATTTTATATTTGCTTTTAAGATGCGTAACTGAGCCTTAGGTTGCCAGTTCTCTTTCATCTCTTAAGAAACAGGACTTGTAGCTGGTAGAGTGAGGTCTGACTCCTGCCCAGGTGGGCTCAGGGAAGGGTCTGAAAACCAGGGGCTTTTGCAGCAGATGCTGTGGAGCATCCACCAAGGAGCAAAGCCAACTTCCCCCGGAGGTGAGAGAGGAGAAGTGTTCTTGACTGAGCATGCACTGATCACTCACCATGCTTCATCCCCTCTTTAGTGGCATTCCAGCGAAATAAAGGATGATTACTAAGAACTTCACCAGTGGAAGTGTACCGATCGCTCCATTCTTTAACACTGTTGTTGCTAGCTGCCATCACTTGGCCCCTGGCTTATGGGAACCCCATGCACAATGGGATCAGGCCGTTATGATCCATAGGGTTTTCATTGGCTGATTTTCAGAAGATCACCAGGGCTTTCTTCCCAGTCTGTCTTAGTCTGGAAGCTCTGCTGAATCCTGTTCAGCATCACAGCAATATGCAAGCCTCCAATGACAGACAGGTGGTGGCTGTGCATGAGGCACATTAGTCGAGAATCGAACCTGGGTCTCCTTACATGGAAGGCGAGAATTCTACAATTGAATCACCACTGCCCTCCATTCTTTAGCATATAAACTAATAATAAAAAGTAACTTCTGTACGGCCATTTACAGTTTGTGATGTGCTTTCTGGATGCTCCACAACTACCTCAGAAGGGAGCCCAAGTTTGGGAGTATGACAGATCTGTCACTCTCAACACCCCCTTCTACAGAAGAGTGAAAGTAATAGCATTTTCAGCATGTTCTCCTCACCCCCTTCATACATTTTGCTCACGGCTCTTGAGCTATTTCAGTATGTTAAAAGGAAAAGCTTTCAAACCACTTTAAATTCGATGAATATTAACTGAATTCTTAGTCAACATTAGTAGAAATTTCTAACAACCAAATCTTAGGCTGTTCATTCTCTGCCCTGGCCCGGCCCACCAGGAAAACTTCTAACACACAAGTCTGTGAGCTACTTAAAGACATGGGGTATATGTTACTGATCTTTGGATTCATCTTGCACATTATAGGTGCTCCCCAAGTCTCGTAGTGGCCCTGAAACCTAGTTTGTGGTAGTAGAAAAAGCCCATATTGGGAGTGTGACAAAGCTCGGTTGGAATTCTGGCTTGGCTACTCACTGGCTGTGTGACCTTGACCACATTACTTAACCTCTTTGAGCCTCAGATTTGGAAAATGCAATTAATATCTGCTTCATAATACCTGCAAGGCTGTATATGGTAACATATATGTATATTGTACCTAGCACAGTGTCTGGGACAGAGAAGGCATTCAAAAAGCAGTAGTTGCTATTATTTATGTTCTACGGTGAACGGCCCCAACACTGAACACAGTAAACGGAACAGAGGCATCCTCCACTGAATTATGTTCCTTTCTCAATTGAGCTACCACTTTTACGTTATCCATGAATCCATGAAAAACTGAAATCCAATAAAATTCACTCGATTTTAGAGCTGTAATTCAGTCTTCCTTTGAGGATGTGGAAAGCGGTCAGAACTTTAAAAAAAGAACAATGGCTTTCGAGTCAATTATAACTCACGGTGACCCCATGTGTGTCAGAGTAGAATTATGCTCCAGAGGTTTTCAATGGCTGATTTTTTCCTTCAGAAGTAGATAACTAGGTCTTTCTTCTGAGGTATCTCTGAATGAACTCAAATGACCAACTTTTCCCTTGGCAGCTGAGCAGGTTAACCATTTTAACCATCCATTCAGAACTTTAGGCTGTGAAGTGTGTATGTTACCTATCCTGTCTGGGTGAAGAGCTTCAAGGCTACTTAACAGAATTTTGGAGAATTGGAAGTTTTTTGGAATTTAACCTAACCAGGAGTCATTAACCCACTCATTCATTTGACAGATAGATGCACTCAATGCTTACTATGTATGAGTCAGCCAGGAACTATTCTAGGCACTGGGGAAACAGACGTGAACAGGACAGACAAGAGCCCTCCTTTGACTGCATTTACCTTCTGTTGGATAGAAATGACAAGCAAAGACCATCTACAGAAATAAAGAGGGCACTCCCCTAGAGAGAGAGATGGAGGCAGCCACTTTACAGGAGGTGACTTCTGAGGTAGTGACATTTGAGCTGTGACTTCAGTGATGAGAAGGAGCCACTCAGAAGAAGAATCTGGGGAAAACAGCCCAGACAGAAAGAAACTGCAAAGTTCGTAAGGAGGGAAAGAGCTTGGTGAGCCTGAGGCCAGCATGGCTGGGGTGGAGGGAAGGAGGAGAGCATCATGGCAGCGGGGAAGGCAAAGGCAGGCAGGAGCTGGGGTGTATGGGATCTTGAAGACCAGAACGGGGAAGCTGCCTTTCATTCAGGAGCAATTTAAGCCAGGACAGACAAGATTCAAGTTGGGGGAAAGCTGCTGAGTGCTAAGTTCAGGTTCTTGATGCCCAGTTAAACTCCCAACTCAGGCTCCTAAAATAAGGGTCACAGGTCTAGCATATGCACCAGTTCCTGGAGGCCAGCAACCCAACAGCCTTGACTTGAAACCCCAGCTACACACTTAGTCATCAAGCGATCTAGGCAAGTTTGTTCACTTTTGTGTCACTTTCCTCATCTATAAAACAGAGATAATAATACTTAATAATAGTGTTGTTATGAGATTAAATGATACATGCCAAATAAGTAGAGATCATGTGAAGTTTCACAGCTCTTGTAAAGTGTTCTCTCACCACCTGTCCGTCAGTTTGTTGTACTGTGGTGGCTTGCACGTTGCTGTGATGCTAGAAGCTATGCCACTGGTATTTCAAATACCAGCAGGGTCACCCATAGTGGAGAGGTTTCAGTAGAGCTTCCAGGCTGAGAAAGTCTAAGAAGAAAGGCCTGGTGATCTACTTCTGAAAATTAGCCAATAAAAACCCTATGGATCACAACAGATTATTGTCTGATACACTGCTGGAAGATGATCCCCCTAGATGATCCCCTCAGTGGCCGTAGCAATGAACTCGAGCGTACCAACAATCGTGAAGATGGTGCAGGACTAGGCAGCATTCCATTCCGTTGTACATGGGGTCACCATAAGTTGGAGCTGACTCAATGGCAACTAACAACAACAAGGTGTTTTCTTTACTTGGGACAGCTTCTCTGTCTGCCGGAACCCTACCCACCTCAGTGCACCTTTCCTGTTCCTCAAACTGGTCATGTTCTTGCTTCTTCTGAGTCCTTAAGTCACATTCTACATCCTTCTCTTACGGGCCATCATCCAACTCCACCCTGATTATTAGGCTGTAAGCTCTTGGGAAGCAGAGGGCTCACACCTGGCTCACCTGTGCATCCCTTTGTAGACATTATGGACGTTATACATAGTCAATAAATACCTGATGAGGGATGAATTAATCCAACTGGTCTAACGGAGCCATGGTCTTTGTTAAAAAGTATCTTATGAGGATGGTTAAAACATGATCATTCCTAGAGGCAATATGGTATATAGCTCTGGAGTCGGACAGACCAGAGTTCAAAACCTCACTCTACCACTTACCAGCACTCGGCCCCTAGCAAATTTTGTAACTCTCTGAGCCTCAGTTTCCTCAATTGCAAAATGAGGATAATAATATCCGCATCACAAGAGTGTTGTGAAGAATAAATGACATAATAAAGGCAAAGTGGTCTAGCTCAGCTCCTGGAATACAGCAGGAACTTGGAACAGTGAAGAATTTCCTTGCCTGAAAGAAGAGTAATACAAGAATTGCCCCTCATGGAGGGACCCAAACTGAGCAGATGCAACCATTTCTGACCTGTCTCCAGCAGCAACTTCACGATGGAGAAGTTGGAATGGGACACACTGTAGTGAAGGGCTGTGTTCCCGTTGCCATCAGCCAAGTTGACAAGCAGCTTTAGGAAGTGGGGCGAATGGGACTGGACCCCATGGAGGTAGGCGACCACCACAGCAGGGCTAGATGACTTCCGGCTGGAGACACGGAACCACTCTTGACTGATGGTATTCAAACTTTGCCTCTGAAACACCAAAAAAATTCCAATTACAGGAGGTTACCTGGCCTGGAGTGCCCCAGCTGGGGTGCTAGTTTTCACTAGGAAAAGTCGAGTTTGGATGCTTCTGCCTCTATCCCTTCAGCTCCGTCCAACTCTCTGTGTGAGTTATTCCTGCAGAGTTCAGAGCCGATGGGACTGGGGATGTAACAACATACTTTGTACCCGTGCAATCATCCCCCCACGTGAGGCAGAAAGACAGAAAGGAGGATTGGGAGGGCAACATCAGTAATAAGAGCTCTACCAGATGACAGTTTGAGAATACCATAAGTTTAGATCACATCTCTGAATGCACAAGGTGACCAAGACCCTCTCTTTCATGCTCATAGCGCCAGCCCATATTGACCTTGCCCCAGACTGTACCAGGGCTCTTGTGTGTTCTAAATAGGCATAGCTGGAAAGTCACAACATTTAACTAATGGGAAAAATGCATGTTCAAAGCTTAAGACAAACAACATACCCAATTTATGCTTAAAATAAAACCCATAACAGGTGTGCTTGAGTTATTTTTGGCTTTTAAGCTTTGCTAGGACCTTCAGAGTAAAAGGCTTAACAACCCGGGGTAGGACCCCACTATCTGTAGTATTCAGCTCCTTGGGAACCATGAACGAGGAGAGTGCCTGAGTCAATGACATCAACGTTGTGTACGACATGACTAAATGTTTAAAAGAGGACATGTTTGGATTATTACCTAAAGGAGGGGAGAAACTATTGGGGTGTGAGTATTAGGAATGATGCCATATTCATTCCGGTAAAAGGAAATGTGTTTTTATATGGGAAAGAGCACTGGATTTGGAGTCACAAAATCAGTGTGACAAGGGTTGAAGTCCTGGCTCTGCTCTGTGACCTTGGAAGTCATATAACCTTTCTGCACTTTGTGTCATCTATAAAATGGGCGTAAAAATAACATCAGGCTTCTTTACTCCCATAGCTCTACAGAGTAAGATCCTTCTACAGTCCACTTTGTCTCAAGGTAGGTGGTGGTTCTGTGCTTTGCTCTTAACATGGGTGTGGTGCAGGACTTGTGTTACATGCATTCTCTGATTATTTTTCTGGGGCAGGAAATGATCCTTATGGCTGAAACACTTATATATCAGAGCATCTCCTTTTACCATGGAATCTTCAAAAGAATCTGGAAGAAGATGCTAATATTAAGGAACATAGTAGTGGGTTTTAAATGAAGAGCTAAGAAATAGCTTAGTTCTGTAATTCATTTAAGAATAAATAACAGTTTCAATTAATATTCATATTGCATATTGGTTCTTTAACAATCTGGGAGCAGCTATTTGCCAAATCAGCTAAGATAAAATAGTTAACGGGCATGCGATAAACACTGCTAAATTGATCTTTTTCCTTTTTTAACTCCTAGAACTCCCCTAAAGCACTATGCTGTTAACCAAAAGGTAGGCAGGACTCTTCCTGCAAGGAGAGCAAAATGGGTTATAAAATGCTTACAAGCTGTTACACTTTGGGTCTTACCAGATGCTCTCATAACTTGGGAAAATGTCTATGCCAATATTTCTTGATTAAAAGTAGACCCCAATAGTTATATGTTTAAATGACCTTGGATCATGAAGGTGTTAAGGAGCAAACAGATGTATTTTGTTTCTGGTCCCTTGGCCCAGAGGTACACTATAAGGAAACTAGTAAAGACTACAGAATGGAATGTCAGGGCTTGAAGGTGAGGGAGACATCCTGTCCATTCTCATTTTCTTCGATGGGAAAACTGAGGCCCTCAGTGGTGAGCCGGCTTGCCCACTCTCTCACAGATGATAGTTCTGGAATAGAACTCACGTTTTTTTCCTGCGTACTCTTTCTACTCGACATACAGTTTTCTCAAGCCGTGAAGCCATTTTGAGCCTAAGCCGCAAACAGCATTTTATGACAGGCATTCAGGGGTGCGATGCTTAATAACACTTGGTAAGTGCCTCTGTGCACCTGGCCTGCTTCCTTGCGCCTGTCGACTGGCTCCCTTTTCTCAGCATAATCAATCACTTCAAGCAGCAGCACGTGAACCAACGAGAGAGCACCCAGAGGAGAAGGACTCATGCGTACACACTCACCCTGACTGCCTGGGCAATGGACCAAAGTTACCCAGCTGGAGCTAAGTGCTTAAACAGTACAGAGATCTTACATGACAAAGAAAGATCACAATACCAAGAGCCGGTCAGTGGTGGTCTCAATTTCTGGCAGATGCTGGCTCAGTGCCTGGCATGCATTAAGAAATTCTTCAGAGGGTTTATATCTAGAGGGAAAAAAAAAAAAAAAAATACATATATATCAGTCTCCATGTTGATCAAAATATTTTTCATTTTTCCCACCTTGAGTTTCATTCTCCTCTTTCACTTCTCAGAGGTGAACACCCAAACTGGGCATCTCTCCAAGACAAGGGCCATTCCTCAGAAATATGGGGTGAACACAGCATCCTGATGACAAGCCTTGGCTTCTGAACTTTCCTGGAGAATGAGTCGAGAGCATTGCTCTTTCACCTGCTGTTTTCAGGGGTGGTGGCAGATAACTAAACGATTCTAGGGGCTGCAGGCCTAATGGCAATTCCTAACATGCTGGGAAAGGGAGGCTTGTCTTAATGACTTTGGACTAAAAACGTTCTGCCTGGGTGATTTGAAAAATCCAAAGAACTCAATCCACACTAGGAAATTTCTTCAGGTTATTCTCCCATGAAGGACACTATAAGTGCTAATAGAATCAATAAAATGAGAATTGATTAAGCCGGGTGCCCGCGGTGGGACACTTTCCTTGTGTCAGTGTAAGGGCAGAGTCTCACAGCACCAAGAGGCCTGAGTTGGACTTAATGGCCTCAGTCAACAGGATGCTTCACTCACTCTGCACATCCTTATGGTGCCGCCATGTTGGGGCAGCCCTGCAGACTTCCTGACACCACTCATCACTCCTCCTACAACCCAGCTGGTGTTATATGAATGAGCCAAAGATGAGCTCTGTGAATTGGCACCAGGCGGTTTACTTTTTCATAGCAAGCTAAGGCCCATTAGCCCAAAAAAGCCTGCTGGTGCCAAATTCAAATTGTACCACTCAATTATTTTAGAAATAGCCCAAATAAGCAGATTTTTAGCCACTTAGAGACTGCCTGCTCCACATACCCCTCAAAAATGGGCCAAACATCTGCTAGAAAAACCCACTGCTGTTGAGTGGATTCCGACTCATAGCGACCCTATAGGACAGAGTAGAACTGCCCCGTAGGGTTTCCAAGGAGTGTCTGGTGGATTTGAACTGCCGACCTTTTGGTTAGCAGCCGTAGCTCTTAACCACTACACTACCAGGGTTTCCTTAGATAATATAAAACCCTATAGGTATAAGGACCCCAGCTGAGTCTGTCCTTCAGAGTTCCCTGACCCAAAGACTCCCCACCATGCTGCAGGACATCACGAAGGCAAACGTCAGTCTCCCCCACCCACCTTGTCCTCTTCCCCACGGTTTTCATAACCTCTTCCCTTTCCTGTGGCTCCTTGTGCCACGTAGAAAACCTCCTCTTGTGGGGACTGCCCCCTCCATGTGCTGTCAATGCATCAGCCCCCAAAATAACTTGATGTGCAACACTGCTATCTCGTGGTCATATCTTTTTCTTTGATCTGACCTGAACTCCCTTAAACTCATTACTACTGGGGATAATGATAATAATGATAATGGTTCTTATTGTTCTTACTTTTACCACATATTGAGAGCCTAGGAGCCCTGGTGGCACAGTGATTAAGCACTCAGCTACTTACTGAAAGGTCGGTGGTTCAAACCTACCAGCCACTCTGTGGGAGAAAAATGTGGCAGTCTGCTTCCGTAAAGATTTACAGCCTTGGTAACGTCATGGAAACTCCATAGCCATATCCAAACTCCCTGAGGGACCAAATTACTGGGCTGAGGGCTGTGGGGACCATGGTCTCAGGGAACATCTAGCTCAATTGGCATAACATAGTTTATAAAGAAAATGTTCTACATTCCACTTTGATGAGTAGCGTCTGGGATCTTAAAAGCTTGTGAGCGACCATCTAAGATACTCCACTGATCTCACCCCGTCTGGAGAAAGGGAGAATGAAGAAAACCAAAGACACAAAGGAAAGATTAGTCCAAAGGACTGATGGACCACAACTACCACAGCCTCCACAGCCTCCATCAGACTGAGTCCAGCACAACTAGACAGTGCCTGGCTACCACCACCAACTGCTCTGACAGGGATCACAATAATGGTTCCTGGACAGAGCCGGAGAAAAATGTAGAACAAAATTGTAACTCACATACACATACAAAAAAGACCAGACTTACTGGTCTGACATAGACTGGAGAAACCCCAAAAGTATGGCCCCTGGACTCCCTTTTAACTCAGTACTGAAGTCACTCCTGAGGTTCACACTTCAGCCAAAGATTAGACAGGCCCATAAAACAAAACGAGACTAAAGGGGCACACCAGCCCAGGGGCAAGGAAGAGAAGGCAGGAGGGGACAGGAAAGCTGGTAATGGGGAACCCAAGGTGGAGAAGGGGAGAATGTTGACATGTCGTGGAGATGGCAACCAACGTAACAAAACAATATGTATATTAATTGTTTAATGAGAAACCAGTTTGCTCTGTTAACCTTCATCTAAAGTATAGTTAAAAAAATTAATAATAATTAAAAAAAGATTTACAGCCTTGGAAACCCTATGGGGCAGTTCTACTCTGTCCTACAGGGTCACTATGAGTCGGACTTGACTCAATGGCAGTGGGTATGGGGCTTGGGACTGACAGCCTACTATGTGCCAGTCACTGTGCTAGGCATTTTTCAGACTTTTTCTCATTTAATTCTCAGTCAAATCTGTCAGGCTGCTATTATCCACGTTTTACAGATGAGGAACTGAGGCCACCACAGCTTCAGTAACTTGCCCCAAGTCACACTGCTGGTGACAGAGGCAGGATGTGAATCTGGGTGGGGTCCAACTCCAACAGCAGTGCTCCTTTAATCATCTCACGACCTGTACTCACTTTTAAAGAGACAAGGTCGTGTCAGCACAGCCAATGGGAGAGGCAGAAAAGCTGGTGGTTGAGAATCAGGAAGAACTGGGTGGGAATTCCCACTCTGCCAGCTGTGTCCTTAACTTCTGTAAGCTTCTGTTTCCACATCTGTAAGTGAGGCTAAGGAACCCTGGTGGTGCAGTGGTTAACTGCTCAGCTGCTAACCAAAAGGTCGATGGTTAGAACCCACCAGGTGTTCTGCTGCAGAAAGATGTGGCAGTCTGCTTCCATAAAGATTGTAGCCTTGGAAACCCTATGAGGCAGTTCTACTCTGTCCCACAGGGTTGCTATGAGTCTGAATCGACTCGACCACAATGGGTTTGTTTTTTTTTTTGGTTTGAAAGTGGGGATTATGGTAATACCTAACTTGTAGGATTGTTAAAAGGATTATATAATACATGTAGTCGTTCACATTTTAAGTGCTTGATAAATGTTAGCTTTATACCTAGAGCTCTATCTATGTGTTATGAATTAAATTGTGTCCCCTAAAAAGATACATTGAAGTCCTAACCCCTGTACCTGTGAATGTGACCTTGTTTGGGGAAATAAGGTCTTTCTTTGACGATATTATCATCAAAGTTAACAAGGTCATGTAGAGTGGGTTCTAATCCCTTTTGAGTGGTGGCTTACAAAAGAGGAGGGCAGACATGGAGACAGAGTCCCGCACAGGGAGAAAGCGCTACGTGAAGATACAAGCAGCCAAAGAACACCAAGGATTGCCTGCAGCCATTAGAAGCGAGGAGAGAGGCATGGAACAGTTCTTCTCTCAGAACCCTCAGAAGGAATCAACATGGCCGATACCCTGATTGGAACTCCTAGCCTCCAAAACTGTGAGACTTTAAAGCCGCCCACTCTGTGGTATTCTGTTACTGCAGCCCTAGGAAGCTAAGACACTATGGCAGTATATTCCGTGAAGACAGGCATCACAACAGGTTAGTTACGTTAGCACACAGTGCCTGGCATCTGATGGAAACTCAATATTGGTGAATGAATGGATAAATGAATGAACAGATGAACAAATACCCTTGTCTTTCTCAGAGGAACAAGTGCTCCATTTGCACACATTCGACTCACCTCTCAGCCTTGGGATGGGGGATTTCTTCCACAGGCCTACTTTCCTGGCCTGCATTATGGGTGCCCTCAGGGACACCCTGCCTGGCCTCGTAGCTGGAGTGGGTGTCTTTGCCCTGCCTGTGTTCAGGGCCATCACATTGCTTCTCAGCTTCACTGTCTGACAAGTCTTCAGGGGAGCTGTCCTCACCGCTGGTCTCCTCACTTGAGGTGGTCTCGTAGCTAGGGGAGGAGACAAAGGTCACTCGCTCTGTCCTTCCTGCCCAGTGCCTGTGTCAACAGTAATGGGAATGAGGTGACCTCAGATAACACTCCCTAGCCTGCCAATCACATCCTCCATCTCCACACCTGCAGGCGGGGAGAGGGGCTCCCCAGGAACCTCAGTGTCAGAGAAACATGCAGCAAAAGGCTCTGACGCTAGAGGCATCAGAAGAGATAATGAAATAAGCTCTTTGCAGCGAACACACAAAACCCAGTTCCCTAACTGGTCAGGCAATCCAAGGTTCTCAAGGAAGCATTTGCTTCTGGAATCCTAATGCCTGGTCCAAAGAGGGGCCCAGGTGTAAGCAAACATATCCCCCCCACTGAGTTATCTGACTTGCCTGACACTGGGTGATTGTGAGGCCTGCCTTTAGCCCTCCTGCTGTAGCCCAGCTTACACCTGACTAGGAATGAACTCATCTGCATCTACTCGCAGCAGGGATTCCGTGGGAATACAGTGAACAGTACGGATATCTGAACACCAGCATCTGCCTTTCTCGCTTGCAGCCTCTTTAAGCTGTCACTTGGAACAACAAAAGTAAGAGCATGCGCCACTTGACTTGTGGGACCCCTCCCCGACAATATTCCATAAATTCAATTATAAATGACTCTATTGAGGTGATAGACCAGAAGTCATGGAGACAATCCTGGAAGACTTATTGATCCCTCTGCTGACGGTCAGCAGAAGACCCCTGATGGGGGATGCTGGTGTTAAGATGAACGTTTCCAATTCTGGGGCCACCGGACACAGTCATGGAGGCCAGGAGCCATGGCCCCCACTGAATCTCCTAAGGCCCTTTCTCTGAATGGTGGCTACTGCAAGGCCCCTGTGCTCACTGGATTTGCAAATCCAGTCTGTTCCCTAGTGTGCACACAGTCTTGTCTTGCTTAAATCCCAGGTATTTCTTTCTCTATTGTGTTTGGACAACCTTTTGCTTTTGTGATTAAGTAAGATGGGAGAACATATTACATTTACCAAGCAATGCTTTTCTTAGAAGTGGGTCAATAAAACTTTACCTGGAAGTTCACTCATTCATTCAACAGAAATTTACTAAGCATATACTATGTACCAGCACTGTTCTTACTGCTGTCCCAAAGTCCCTGCCTTTGTTGTTGTTAGGTGCCACTGAGTCTATTTTAGACTCAAAGTGACCCCAGGTGACAGAGTAGAACTGCCCTATAGGGCTTCCTAGGCTGTAATCTTAACGGGAGCAGATCACCAGGTCTTTCTCCAGAGGAGCACTGAGTAGGTTCGAATTGCCAACCTTTCGGTTAGCACCAGAGCACTTAACCATTGTGCTACCAAGGTTCCTGTCCCTGCCTTAATAGAATTTATATTCTAGCAGGGGAAGATAGAAAAGAAATATGTAAACAAATGATTTATTCTGATAGCGATAAGAACAGTGAATAAAATTATAAAGGGCAATGGGGATAGAGTGATGGGAGGAGAGGCTGCCTTAATTAGAGAAAAAGTTCTTAACCTGGACTGCACATTAGGGTCACTTGGGGGTGTTTAAAATTCTAATACCTGGACCACATGACAAATTAACTGAATCAGAATCTCTGGGGATGAGAACAGATATTGATATTTTTTAAAGCTCCCTAGGTGTCTCCTGGAAACCCTGGTGGCGTAGTGGTTAAGAGTTCAGCTGCTAACCAAAAGGTCAGCAGTTCAAATCCACCAGGTGCTGCTTGGAAATGCTATGGTGCAGTTCTGCTCTGTCCTATAGGGTCGCTATGAGTTGGAATCCACTCGACGGCAACGTGTGTGTATGTGTGTGTGTGTGTGTCTGTGTGTCTGTGTGAGGTGTCTCCAGTGGAGCCCTGGTGGTGCGGTGGTTAAGAGCCACGGCTGTTAACCAAAAGGTTGGCACTTCAAATCCACCAGTTACTCCTTGGAAATCCTATTTAAAAAAAGAAAGAAAGAAAAACCTGTTGCCGTTGAGTCAATTCTGACTCATAGAACCCTACAGGACAGAGCAGAACTGCCCCATAGGGTTTCCAAGGAGTGGCTGGTGGATTCGAACTGCTAATCTTTTGGTTAGCAGCTGAGCTCTTAACCACTG